CCAACTCTTGAATGTTTTCCATTTCTTTTCTTAAAGGAATGCCGTTTCTCGCCGCTCCAGTCCCTGGATCCGGCTCTCGGAAGGCGGTGACCGCAGGGCGCCTGACGCTGTCCGGCGCGGCTCCACGGGCGCAAGCGCCGTGCGGGCAGGAGCGGGACGGACGCGGGCGGGTGCGGGACGGCGGGCGGGCGGGCTGGAGGAGCCCCGGGCGGAGAGGAGGGCGCGGCGGGTTGCTAGGACGCAACAGACGCCGGCGCGGTCGCTAGGGCCTCGCGGAGGCGGGCTGCGCCGAACGCGCACCTCGGCGGCGGCGTTCTCCTCGCGGCAGCCACCCGGCCTGGTGCCCCAGCCGCGCCGGGACGCCTTCCGCCCCCGTCCGCGCCGTAAGTGCCTGACCTTCCTCCGGGCACAGTTCCCTCGCGTTTCTTGAATGAAGGTTAAGCAAGCTGTGTAAATAAGCAAAGCTTTGGGAGCTTCCCCAAGATCCACACCACCAGCACATGTCTAAATATAAAGCCCCATCTGGTGGGGAATTAAGATTCTGTTGGGGAAAAAAAAAACCACTTCTGCCATTAAGGGGGCCTGCCCCTTAGCTCAGTTCTTTAAGTGGCTGCTTCAACAAAGCAGTCAGGCTCAGGTTGCTGTGGTTCGATCCCCACAACACAAGACAGCCAGTCATGCCTTGAAGGCATTCGGCGTAAAAAAAAGAAAAAAAAAGATTCTGTTGGAGAGGAGGTAAAACTAGCCAGCATGACTTGCACATACAAGAAATTATACTTACTACCAAAGCATCCTTGTTCTTGGGAGAACGTTATTTTCACTTACTCCCATTGTTTTCTACCCTCCTCCCATTGCACACCATCCTTACTTCTCAGTCCCTTTCTTCTATGTCTAAACTGCTCCTCAAAAAATACAGGCGTGGTTAGCATTTGTTTGACTTGGGTGCCCTAAGCTCTGAGACCCTTGGAATTCATACAGTTCATCACTGTGCACAGGCTGATGGGGCGGCGGTTCCTGTGACCACGCTCCCGTTCCCAGAGCTGACACACAGGCCCTGGCCGCCTTCTCCGTGCACCAGGAGCTGGCCTGTGGCCTGAGCTCAGCCCTCAGGCTCCTTCTGGGGTGCAGATTGTTGAGATGGTGCCTATCGGAAGACAGTGAATGCGGGGATGGCAAACACACCTCACCATCCCATTTTAAGACAGAGTTCCTCACCCCAAACCTCCCACAGCCCCCTTGACCCCTGCCCCATCCTAGTCTGGGTCTCCCAGCGCATGTCAGCCTGTGCCTTTCCCAAAGGCCCCCAAGAACTGCCTGGTGCTTGTTAGCCCAGGGCAACATCTGTGCCCCCCTCTGCTTAGTGTTTACAAAACAGTGAAACCTCAGCACAAAAGAAGGGGCGATCCACCCTCCCACTTCATGTGAAGAAAATAAACTTGACAGTAGAGACACTTAAATCCCAGCTTTAATCCATCAGGTGGCTCAGATTGGGCATGGTGGCACAGGACTGTGATCCCAGTTCTTGGGGGGCTGTAAACAGGTGGATCACTACCAGTCCGATCTAGTAGTGAGACCCTGAACACCCTGTAGGCC